TCCGGAGCCTGTGCTCCGCAACGGGAGAGGCCACAACAGTGAGAGGCCCATGTACCGCAAAAAAAAAAAAAGAAAAAAGAAAAGCCCAGGCTCAGATGGCTTCACTGCTGAACTCTACCAAACATTTAAAGAAGAATGAATACCAAAACTTCACAAATCTTCCCCAAAATAGAAGAGGATGAATACTTCCCAACACATTTTGTGAAGCCAGTATTACTCTAATACCAAGCCAAAGACATGAGAAGAAAACTACATACTAATAGTTCATATGAATATGGATGCAAAAATTCAACAAAATACAGCAAACCAAATCCAGCAACTTATAAAAATAATTATATACCCTAATCAAGTGGGATTTATCTCAAGAATGCAAAGTTGATTCAATATCTGAAAATCAATTCATGTAAATTAATCATATCAATAGAGTTAAAAAACAAGATCATCTCAATAGGAGCATTTAACAAATCCAACATCCTTCCATGATAGAAACACTCAACAAATTAGGAATAAGAGGGAAGTGCCTCAACCTGATAAAAAACATCTACTAAAAACCCACAGTTAATATCATACTTATTGGTGAGAGAGGGGATGTTTTCCTGCTAAGATAAAGAACAAGACAATAATGTCTGCTCTCACCACTTCTATTCAACATTATATGAGGTTCTAGCCAGGGCTGTTAGCTGAGAAAAAGAAATAAGATTGAAAAGGAAGAAGTAAACTGTCCCTATTTGCTAATGACATGATTTTATGTATACAAAATACTAAGTAATTAACTAAAAAACTATTGGAATTAGTACATCAAGATTGCAGTAAACATAAATACACAAAAATGTTTTATGTTTATATACCTACAATAAACAACCTGAAAATGAAATAAAGAAAATAATTGCACTCACAATAGCATCAAAAAGAATAAAATACTTGGGAATAAATTTAACAAAAAATACAAACTTTAAAAACTACAAAACATTGTTGAAAGAAATTGAAGAAGATCAAAATAAGTGGAAAAATATCTCCTGTTCATGGATCAGAAGATTTAACATTGTTAAGATTGCAATATTCCCCTAAATGTAAGAGCTAAAACTATAAAACTCTTAGAAGAAAACAGAAGGGTAAATCTTCATGACCTTGAATTTGGCAAAAGGATTCTTAGATAGGACACCAAAAGTCCAAGCAACTAAAAAAAAGAAAGAAAAAAAACATGTATGTCATCAAAATTTAAAACTTTTGTGCTTCACAGGACACCACTAAGAGCAGGAAAAGACAACCCACAGAATGGGAGAAAATATTTGCAAATCATTTATTTGATGAAGGACTTGTATCCAGAATATATAAAGAGCCCTTACAACTCAATGATAAAGACAAATCACCCAAATAAAAAATGAGAAAAGGATCTGAATACACATTTATCCAAAGAAGATATACAAATAGCCAATAAACATGAAAAAAAATGTTCAGTATCACTAGTCATTCGGGAAATGCAAATTAAAACCACAAGATACCACTTCACATCCACTAGGATGTGGGATAATACAAAAAGTTGGGTAATAACAAGTTTTAGGAAAGATGTAAAGAAATCAGAAGACTCATATACTGCTGATGTGAATGTAAAATGTTGCAGCCATATTGGAAAACAGTACGACAGTTCCTCAAAAAGTTAAACACGGTTACCATGTAACTCCTCAGTTCCACTCCTAGGTATATACCCAAGAGAAATGAAAACATATGCCCACACAAAAACTTATACACAAATGTTTATAGCAGCATTATTTATAATAGCCAAAAGATGGAAGCAACACAAATGTTTATCACCTGATAAATGGATAAACAAAATGTGGTATATCCATACAATGGAATATTATTCCACAATAAAAAGGAATAAAGTACTGATATATGCTACAACTTGGATGAACCTGGAAAACGTTACCCTAAGTGAAAGAAGCAGCCACAAAAATCCACATATTGTATGATTCCATTCATATGGAAGTCCAGAATAGAGAAATCTGTAGAGACAGGGATTTGTAGTTGCCTATTGCTTGATGAGGGATGGGGTGGGATAAGGAGGATGGAGAATGATAGCTAAAGGATATGGGGGTTCTTTTCAAAGTGATGAAAATGTTCTCAAGTTGGCCACAATGATGGCTGCACATATCTGAATTTAGTAAAAACCACTGAATTATACACTTTAAGTGGATGAATTGTATAGTATATGAATTGTATCTCAGCTAAGCTGTTTCTTAAGACACAGAACAAGGGAGGTCTTTGTGTACTATTCTGGAATAATCTCCAAAATATTTTGTTAAATAACAAGATGCAGGAGAAAAAAAAGAATTATTCCATATCCTATATGTAGGTTGTGTATCCTATAGTTACATGAATCTATAAATGTGTTAAAATTCATAGAACTGTGCAACAGAAGAGGAAAAGGTAATTTTATTGTATTATGATGTAAAAATATAGAATCTTTAAAAATACAGTAGAAATTGAGAGAGGAGAGGTATTGTCAGCAGACTTGGTAGTCCTGGTGGTGGGCATCTGGGAAGTCTTCAAGAAGAAAGTCACACTTGCAAGTATCTCGAAGGATGACTTGGCTCTGGACGGATAGATATTTAAGGAGAGGTTTGATGAAGAAAAGAAAATCATTTAAGACAAATGTTAACAATGGCCAAGAGTACAGAGTAGAGAATTTCTGACCATCTGGAGAGCATTAATTGTTTAGTTCGCTGAAAGGAAGGATGCACACAGGAAAGAAAATAGATCAGACTGTGGATTTCCTTCTGTGTCAGGTTAATAAGAATTGAACACTTCGTTGTATGGTCATTGATGAGCCATGAAAGGTATCTGATCAGAACTCTGCCTTGGGGATATTATTCCATGGGAACTGCTAATAAATAAGTTGTAGACCAGTTAGAAGGCTGTTATATTAATTCAGTCAGAGAATGAAGGACTAATACAGGTGGTGGAGATCTGAGAGAGACGGGAACACATGGGGTCAGTATTGTGAAGAACGTGGCAGCTGGTTGGGGAGGGAGAAAAAAGTCCAAAAATTGGTTCTTTGGTTTTGCCCCTCCGTGACTGGGATGATAGTACTGTTAGGAAAAGGAAGGGGGGAAAGCAGAGAAGTTGATGAGTTTAGGTTGGGAGTTGTTTAGTTTCAGGAGCTAGGAGACGTGTAAATAAGACACTTAACGGCAGTTACAGAGGGAAGCCCCATGGTATGGTCGGCACCACACCTGCAAATTCAACCAACCTCGGATGGAAAATATTTGGGGGGTGGGGGGGGAATCCAGAAAGTTGTAAAAAGCGAAACACGTATTTGCCTCACAGTGGCAACTATTTACATAGCATTTAGATTGTATCAGGTATTGTAAGTAATGCAGAGGTGATTCAAAATGTACAAGAGTATATGTGTAGGTTATATAAAATGTGGGAAAGATATATGGTGGTGCAATCAGAAATTTGAGTTGGGAAGTTGGAAGTCAGGGAAGCTCATGTTGGATAACTTCAAGTTTTTTCCCATAAAATATGAAGCAAGGTCATCCACAGAGAGGGAATAAAATTGAAGAGTGTTTCTAAGCAGCTTTAAATATTTTCTCTAATTCTGCCCTTTTGCATGAATGGAAAACAAATGATCCACATCAATTATAATAGGTAATTATAAGCCTTTAACATTTGCTAGGTATCATGCTAAGAGCTTATTTCAAACTTAAAACATCCCTACCAGACAAAAGCTATTAGCAGTTTTATCCACATATTACAGAGGGTAATACGAGAGAGAGAGAGACAGAGAGAGACAGAGAGAGACAGAGAACCAAAACTGAATATGAGCTCTAACTCCAAGCTCTGAGGATGTTAGAGCATGCTTTCTGAGGTTTTCCTTTCAAATTTCATTAAAGCAGCAAAATGTTTGTTCAAGAAGTTACACGGATTAAGGGGATAGAATACAAAGTATGTATTCCATGTATGCAATGAAATGTAATTTTAATATAATTTTAATAAAGTTAACCTTTTAAATAAATGGAGAAGGGATGGCTTGTTTAATACGTGCATTGGGGCAGTTAACTATCCAACTTTAATTTTTTTAAATTAATTTTGATCTCCTGTTTAAAATATATATAATAGAAATCAGAACAGTGGTTGTCTATGGCAGGGTAGAGATGGATTTAGGGGCACAGGGAACTTTCTAGGATAACAGGAATTTTCTGTAATTTGATCAGAATGTTGGTTGCATGGGGTTTTTTTGGTCAAAACTCAATTGAAATGTACATTTAAAAATCTGTACATTCCACTCTATGCAAATTTTATCTCAGTTTTAAAAAGGGAAATATATCTAGACCTCCAATACATCATTAAATTTAAAAAAGCAAGCTAAAGGGTGAGACGTACAATATAATACCATTTATACAGAAGAAAGAAAACATTATTTCTGTGGATCCACACTTGTGTATGTAAATGTCTCATGGTTCTTGGGTCCATCTACTACTCCACCAAGAGGTCCTTCTGCTAGTGTCAATCTTGGTGCTCTTAGGGTTTCTTTCTGGGATGCGAAGAAAAGACTTTTGTATTATAACATCGTTAGCTTAAGAGTAAATTTCCCCATTGTTCATAATACCCCTATGGTATAATATTCTCCCGTGAAGAAAGATACTCTTTCAGGAAATTCTAACTAAAAAACACGACGTGTTTGTATAGTGATTCTGGAAACTGGTACATCTTCACAGGCAGCCTTGTATAACGGGGCTGCAATCAGGCGATCTGAATTCTTGTTCTGACTCTGCCGCTTGATCAGATGGATATTTTGGAGTAATTCATTTAATCTCTCTGGGCTTCGATTTCCATGTTGGTTAAGAAAATGGACTGAACTGATGACTGAGGGTCCATCCAGGCCTAAGATTCAGTAAACCCTGTTCCTTCACACGGACCTTCTATGAAAGAGGTCACTTGACCTACAGTAGACATATGGAAAGTCAGATTTTCTCTGCTTTTATATTTTGAAACAGGTGACAACCAAAGCCAAGCAACTGAAGGATTCAGTTACCTGCTCCCCAGGTGAGTCAGCACCCACTCCATCCCATTAATCTAAAGCCGTGCCTTCAAAATAAATCCCTTTTTATAATAACTTGTTTTGCCCAATGGACTCTACTGGTCATCTCTGTGAAAGGGATCGAATTACAAGCACCCACAAGCCAATGCAGCCCTGCACACACAGTGGTGCTAAGATGTACTTAATAAGTTTGAAGAACTGTAAAAACCTTGTTCTTCTCTAGTATTGGGGGGGAGGGGGGCACGCAGGGGAAAGCCAGCCTGCGCCATTTCCCCGTATTTCCACCATTGCCACCACACACACAAAGTGTCCTTCAGGACAGGCCAAGCAGCTTCTCCAAGAATCTATGTTTCTCAAAATCCATTTCTTCCAGGGACTTCCCTGGTGGTGCAGCAGTTAAGAATCCGCCTGCCAGTGCAGGGGACACGAGTTCAAGCCCTGGTCTGGGAAGATCCCACGTGCCACGGAGCAACTAAGCCCGTGCACCACAACTACTGAGCCCACACGCCATAACTACTGAAGCCCCGTGCTCCGCAACGAGAAGCCACCACAGTGAGAAGCCCGCGCACCACAACGAAGAGCAGCCTCTGCTCTCCACAACTAGAGAAAGCCCGCGCAGCAACGAAGTCCCAATGCAGCCAAAAATAAAATAAATTTTTTTTAAAAAAAAAAAATCCATTTCCTCCAAGACTAAGTAGAATTTTGCTCAAGTCCCCATACTTTTTGCTCGGAACCAAGAAGAAAATGCCTCCTAAACCTTCCAACTCCACTTAAATACAGGTCCCTGCACTCGATGTAACCTACTAGGGACCAGCAAACCCTGAGATCTCGAAACGTCTCCCCTGGAGAGGACGGGGCGTGCGGTTCTGCGGGCTCCAGCGAGGAGGGCATTTCCAGACTGCTCTCCTACCAGCGCAGCTGTTGGTCTGCGTGTGGAGGCCCAAGCGCGCAACGTGCTTCTGTGAAAGACGCTCCTCTCCGACACAGTCTCCAGAAACCTCCTGAAAAAGCAGTGGGGCACAGACAGATCTTCCTAGAGCACCGGAGGGGTTGGGAGTGTGTGAGCAGGGCGGGAAAGGCGTGGCTGAACACACCCGTGGGTGGCACGAGGAGTGTGATTTTCTGTCAAGCGAGGCATCGCGGTGGCACAGGAAGCAGCTTGGCTGGCGGGGGGGGGGGGCGGTCCCCCCGTGCAGGGTTAGCCCAGTGGGAGGTCTGACGGATTCACTGTACTTGCGCTCGCGGAACTAATAACCCTAGATTCTGAAAAACATTTTTCCATACCTCGAGAGTAGCCGCTTATCCCCTCTCGAGACCTTCTCATCCTCTGATTGCAACCTGGCCCTGGGAGGCCCCCGAAGTCCTCAGAGCGGTGGAAGGACAGACTTGGAATCAGACAGAAGTGGGTTCAGATCCCACCTCTGCTGCTTCTGAGACTGACTGCCCTCCTCTGTGCAACTGGGGTCACGATGGCTGTCTTTATAGTGTGAACATTAAGTATACAATACATGCAAAATGCCCAGCGCACTGTCTGCTGTGGTGAAGGCAGCTGTCCTGACTCTTGTCACCGGAACTGACTGACCTTGCCCTTCCCCTCCATGTGTCCTTTCTCACAGGGATGGTCAGACTCTCCGAACTCAGATCCACAGCCCAGAACTCCCGGCCCCCCAAGGCCGCCACCACCTTGCCGGACGACATCATCACTCAGCGGGAGGAGGCCAAGCAGGCTGGGGAGCTGGAGGAGGAGGACGGCGAGGAGGAGGCCGATCCGGAGGCCGCGGAGGAGAGCCGGCCTCGGAGGCGGAGGCCAGCCCTGCCGCCCGAGCCGGAGGAGAAAGTCCGGGGAAAGAGGCAGAAGGACTTCGACATGTCGGAACAGCACGAGTCCAGCGACGATGAGAGCCAGAAGAGAGAGCGAGCGCGAGCCGCAGATGAGCCCTGGACTCAGAGCCAACAGAAGCTTCTGGAGTTAGCATTACAGCAGTACCCAAAGGGATCCTCTGACCGCTGGGACAAAATCGCCAAGTGTGTCCCGTCCAAGAGTAAGGTGGGTGACGCCGGGAAGGCCGGCCTCCGAGCGGGTCTAGATCACACGGACGCGGCCGCAGCGGGTCCACCGGCTTTCCCTCCTCCTACGCGTCTTTCTATCCGCCTCATCTCTTACCTGCCAGTTACCTTCCACTAGATGTCTCCCGAGAGCCTGTGAGTCTGCACTCGACTGCTTAGTGTAAATGAGGTCAAGATTCCAAGTTGAATCGTTATACAGACCAGTTATGTTTTCTCAGCGAAAACCCCACGCATAGATCATAACCTGCCCCCACAGCAATCCCGCCAACCTTCTGGAGCGTTCGCTCGGCGGGGGCGGGGCGGGGACGGCCGGGCAGCATCCTTGTCGCTGCGAGGGCCGCGCAGGGCCAGGCCTCCCTCGCAGGCGGAGGCTCCCTTCGGCCAGCAAGGAGAAGGTTTCCCACAGAATCACGAGCCCCTCCGGCGCTTCACAGCTCTTTAACCCGGGGAACACGTGTGGCGGCCAGCGTCGCCATGGTCACCAGTTCTGCCGTGTAACTTGTCTCAGCGGTGGCACCTGTGGACCAAAGGCTGGAAGTAGTGTTGGGGGCGGGGTCAGGGAGAGGTTGCCCTCAGGATCAGGATCCAGCTTGTCCTCTACTGTAGCCCTTTCCTCCCAGTGTACAGCTTTTAGTGTCTGTTTAAACACATCTGCAGAGAGTTCCCAAATGCCAACTCAGATAGGAGGGAAGGGGGCAGCCCCTGTGGGAAGTCAGGCCCTGTCCGGCCTCTGTCTTCTGCTCCGACAGTTGGGAGCTGCAGAGCCTCCGGTGTGATGTTTTCAACCCAAGCCTTTCCTGATACAGCCTCCTGGGCGTCTTTCCTCGTAGTCATACCCTTCGTCTGAGGCACCAGGAACACCGAGAAATCAAAAGAGCCAGTCTCCTTTGCCTTCTCTGCCCATCACTCAGTAGCCTGTGGGCACACTGATGTTCATTTACGTTCCTTTTTTTTTTAATTGAAATTCGATGTTGGAAAATCTAGCTCGTGGCCATGGATGTCCCCGTGCGTACAAGTCTAGTTATCTATCACCTACTTTAAAATGAGGAAGTTGAGAATTCCTGGGGAGAAAAATAAACCATTAGCAGTTGATCTATTTGAGAAACACAGATCCTCTCAGCCCCTCCAACTGGTTTGCCAGAAGTAATTATTTTCCCTGAATTTCTTTAGCATCTGTCGGGACACAGGCATTTACATGTGTGATGAATTGACACTGGCTTAAAATGAAGGAGCTGGAACCGTGGATTCCTGCGGACAGCACACTCAGAAACTCATTGCCTTGGGGTTTGGAAACCTTCCTGGTTCAGGGAGGAATGAGCAGCATGGTTTATTATCCTGCAGGTGTTCCCCTTACGCCTCCACGTCAGAACCAGGTCCAGGGGAGGTTGCCTGCTGGCTTGCCCCCTACAGGGCGACTCCCTGGAAGTGGCCTGCAAGCCGCTGGGAGCCCTGGGCCTGAAGGAGGAGCCTCTGCCTGAGGCCCACACGGGGCTGGGCTGGGCCGCCCACCCTGGCAGGCCTGCTGCTCAGAGCCCAGGGTCCCCGCATCCCCCCACAGAGTGCTGGGCCGGCCGGGCAGCTTGGCTGTTAGGGAAAGGGTGACACTTTAGGCAGGTGGCCCTTGGGGATGCAGAAGAGGCCCTTATTAGAAGATTCTCTCAGAACACTACTAAGCCAGAACTCCAGGAAGAGAATGAACACCATTCTCCGTCCAGGGCCTCTGGTAAAGTCGTCAGCTGCGGAGCACAACCAGTTCACGTGTGACCGTAAGTTAGTGAAGGCTGACAGTGCCTTGGGGTGTTTTTGAACAGAAACAGAAATGGATTCTGGAAAGTACCTTGTGATAAACAAGAGAGCAATGAGGCCCTTCCCCTGCTTCATCAGGGGTCCTCACCCCAAGGGGTGACAGCGACAGGCAGCGGGCGTCCGAAGTTACTAGTTCTGTAGCCTGACTGGAAGGCTGGAAGACCTCGGCGGGTCTGGCACGAGCCGGAGGAAGAGCAGGGCACACTCCCCGCAGTAGCCCGTGGGGCTGGGCCGACGTGGCCCTACCCTACCGCAGGAAGGTCCCAGGGGCCCCCAGGGAGAGGCAAAGCATAATGAGAATGACGTTGTGGATGCCTGGCCTCAAGGCTTTTCGTTTCTCTGAAGTAATGTGTTGTGACAAAACGGTGAAATGTTAAAATGTTAAGTACCACTGGTGAGTCGAAAGTCACCATCACAGGAACAAAAGTCTCCGTCCCACAGACAGCAGCCACCGGCCCCTCCCCCAGGGTGCACATCACACCTCCCGCCCGGGCACCCAGGGAATTCCAGGTGGACAGAACAGCCCTTGGTCAGCGCTGGGCACGGCAGGCTCACCCCACGAGGGTCACTCTGATTGTAACTGTCAACTCTCTGTCTCTCTCTCCTCTCTCTCTCTCTCTCCAGGAAGACTGTATCGCTAGATACAAGCTGCTGGTTGAACTGGTCCAAAAGAAAAAGCAAGCTAAAAGCTGAATCCTCTGGAAGATGATGTTTACCTTATTTTCCAAAAGGATTATTTTAAAAATCTTATGCAGAAATTTGCATTTTGTACCTCACTATTTCTATACGTCATGTGCCTTAGTAAAAAAAATTAAAAATGTAACATAAATGTTGTGCTACGTTGTTTAAACAAATACTGTGTTAAAGGAGAAAAAAGCAGATTTGGGTATTTTATAGATTATTTTCTCTCTCATCACTGCAAAGTTTAATTTCCTGGGGAACAAACTGAATCGTGCTTTCTAACAGTGAGGCAAATGGATGATTTTGAAGGAACATATGAGTGAACTAATGTGTAAGAATGAAGACTTAATGTGTTTCTTTGACCAAAGATCACACCAGCTAATGAGTAGCAGGATGCCAGTATTTGGGAGAACAAACCAGCTTTGTACTGAGCTAGCTGGCTGGGAGTAGTGTGGGGTTATCTTAACTGTATGTATATGCATATGTTATATGTATGTAGAAAAAAATAAGTCTAAATGCACAAGGACATAATAAACTCTTAAGTTTGGATGGTTTGGTAGAAGTGCATACCCAACGGATAGAATTTCCAGACAACACGTAGGCAAGGTTTTTCGGATCTGATGACACTGGGTCCCACTTTTCAATACCTGAGTTAAAAATCACTATTTTGTGCTGTTACTTTTGACTGAACCATCACCATCAGCTGAGTGCTCCTTTTTAAATCTGTCATTTGCTCAGGGCTGAAAGCAGTTTGCTGAAGTACAGATTGCCTAAACTTGAAAACCATTAAGATCACCAGAACAGTGCTTCCCTGGTGCCGCAGTGGTTGAGAATCCGCCTGCCAATGCAGGGGACACGGGTTCAAGCCCTGGTCCGGGAAGATCAGGTGCTGCAGAGCGACTAAGCCCACGAGCCACAACTACTGAGCCCGCGAGCCACAACTACTGAAGCCTGCGCACCTAGAGCCCGTGCTCCACAACAAGAGAAGCCACTGCAATGAGAAGCCCGCATACCGCAATGAAGAGTAGACCCCACTCGCTGCAACTAGAGAAAGCCTGCCGCGCAACAACGAAGACCCAACGCAGCCAAAAATAAATTTAAAAAGATCACCAGAACACATTTCAGGGAGGTGATTTGATAAAATGCTATAAAGACGTCATTTTTCTCTAAGGATTGAAATGAGGTTAGATTCCCGGAGAAGGTTTGGGTGGCAGCAGCCACACTGGCTCTGTAACCTTTCAGCCTGAGCAGGACACACGTGGCTCCAGCTAGGCCCGCCTCTGATGCTGTGGAGGACCTGCCACCTCTGCGATGTCAAAAAGAGAAGTGGAGAAACTGTTCCAAGTCATCGTTTTCATGAACTGAGTCCTCGGGCAGCAGCTCCCCTGAGCCTCATCCTGGTCGGAAAGGGGAGGCAGCCGGGGAGGGAGAGGCTGCCTGGCCTGCATGTCAGGAGGCCTCTAAGAACAAACAAGAGCTGGTCACGGGCGGCACCAGAGCCAACAGCTTCTGCCCCAGAACTTTCTCCTGGAGCCAATGGGGCCATGAGGTTATTACTGTGCATTCGCTTCGGGCCAAGGCCCACTCCCCATTGGTGTGGGACGTCTCAGAGGAAGAAGCTGGTGCATGGAGGGAATCAGGAAGGGATTGTTCTGGCTGCTTTCCAGGCCTTGGGTCCATCCTGTCTCCGAGTCCAGGGTCAGGCTTGTCACACAGCTTGGTTGTCCAGCCTGTGACATTCTGTGAGCATCCTTCCATGAAATCACCCTTTTCACTTATGGTACTTTGAATTGGGTTTCTGTTGCATGCACCCCCAAATCCCATGACCAGATTTCTGGGCTTCCAGTGTGGGGAGAGCCCCACAGGGGCCCAAAGATGCCTTAAGAGGTACAATTTAGGATGAAATGCCCTAATTTGCCTACCAACCTCATCTTTTGCACACTCACTAAGGAGGAGTCTTCTAGCATAGTTTTCTACTGATCACTATCCCTGCCACCAGCCCCTTTCTGCGTGGCCTCCCCTATTTGGGGGACCTGGAGCTGCTGAGTTTTGTTGAAGTAGGACCAGTGGGCCGGGTGGGGCAGGGCTCAGGAGCTCAGCTGCACACAGGAGACCCGTGGGGTTCAGCTTGAGTGAGGTCACGGTCGGGAAAGCAATGGCACCTCCAAAAGGGGTTCCCGACACAGGTCACATGGGGACCAGGCACGGCCCCCCTCTCCTTCCTGACGCCCCAGGGAAGTGCTCTCTAAACCCACCCCTCAGCCCCGCCTTGTGACCTTATCTATCTATTCACACCTCCGAGCTGTGTGACATCAGTGCCTTGTCTTACCTCTTTGTCTCAATTCCCTTCTGGAAAAATAGGGAGTAACGGTGGATGCTGCATAGGTTGTTACGATGATAATCTGGCTTGTTGAACACAATAAATGTTCTTTTTCTATCTGACCATCCAGGCTTCCTGTTACCATCATTTTCAGTGGCTGCAGACGCAGGTAGCAGGGCTGACAGGCCACCAGCCATGCTCATTTGGTCCCTCGTGGGCGGGAATCCCTAGCCTGGGCACTGTACAGGCCCCGGTGGGAGCTTTGGGAGCCCTGCCAAAGGTATGCAAAGTCTTTATTCTTTTGGACGTGTGGTTTTCTGGAGAGAGGGTACACATCTTTCACCGGTTGCCCCAAAGGTTCCTTACCCAAAAAGGTTAACTCAGGCCTCTGCTCAAGTGTTTACTCTGACTGCAGCCCACCAAGGGCCCACGTGGTACAAGGACGATCCTCAGACTTGGCCTCTGACAAAAAGAGGCCCAGAATTCGACCTCAGAGTCCCCACCCCACTCAGACCCTGGCAGAGGGAACAGCAGGAGGTGTCTCTTCGTGCGGGGCTTGGAAAGCGCTGGCCTGGCCCCAGCACGCGCCGCCCACCTGCGCCCCCTGGCCCCACACAGCTTGGGGTGTCTGCCCCCGTCTTCCCGGAGAACCGGGCCCTTTGTCCTGTAGTAATTGACATTTACTTTCTCCACTGGGGCAAAAGCTTACAGCTCAGTTCTTCACACCACCGAGGGCAGCAGTTTTTAAGCCCATTCACACGTTCCCTCCCGTGTCCTCACGAAGCCCCTGACTGTTCTAGCAGGTTCCCGCCAGCAGCCAGCGCTGCTTCGAGGCCAGGTGCTGTCACCCGCTGCCCAGGGCCCGGCGGGGCTGGCAGGCCTGTGTTCTTTCCCGGCTGTGCCTCACGATGCTTTGTTACTAAGAACTGAGGTTCCCAGTGGACGACCTGGTGCTTCTGTGACATTTGCTTAGGAACCACCTAGAAGTCTTGCGCTCTCATCTCCTTGATTGACCCATGTGTGCTTGGCAAACGTTCCGCCCCACAAGACGGGATCCGTTTTGACTGGAATATTGCCCCCGTGGGCCGAGTCTTCTCCTGGGTTCCTGTCAGAGTTTTAGAATAAATCATAGGCAGCTTTCCCCAGTCGATGTTCCGGATGCCTTAAAAAGGCCTCTTGCCTCTTGGTATGTGCCAGCCCTGCCCTCACACCAAGTCCACCCGCCCCTTTTGAAAGTAGAGAACTCATCCCTTTAAAATACCAACCACCTTAGCCTTACTTCCACCTGTAGGGTAGTTGTTGTAGTTAGGTTCTTTTCCTAACACTTAAACGGCACGGCTTAAGTTGTGATGTTCTATACACACAGGGTGACCACAGGTCCCAAGTGGCCCAGGACAGTCCCAGTTTATACCTGTCTCCGTGCACCCAGTCTGGACTGCACGTTACATGGTCACCCGTCTGTGAGGGGCTGCTGGAGGATGGCTGGTCCCAGAGGTCCCTGGGGGGTGGGGGGACGGACTCTGAACCACACCCCCATCCCAGATGGCTCTGAGGCGTCCGCGTTCGTTTTGCTCACCTGTGGCTGAGAAAGCACGAGGACGCAGCGACTGTGCTGACCCTGAGCCCTGGTGCCCCCAGGGGCACAGGGACCCGCCTGAGTCGGGCCCATCCCGACCGGGGGGCTCCTGCCAGCGTCAGGCAGACTCCCCCTGCGCTCCCGCAGCTGCCCCGGCCGTGGCCCCCTTTAGCGGTTTGCCGCACGGCCTCCCCTCCCGCCGCCCCCGCCGCTCCACCTGTAGCTGGGATCACGGCGGGGCTGGCCTGGAAGCCACCCCACTGTCTTGGCAGGAGTCCCAGCCTCCTGTTTGAATAAACTGCTTGGCCCTCAGCCTTCGACTTGATTCACCGGAGAGCTAAATTAACACGCTGTAAAACTGAACGGCTGCAATTATTTTCCCCTCTGGTCTGGGGAGAAAAAGAATGTCTTCATGTAGGACAGAAAAAGGGAAACCACGTTCGCAATCGGATCCCCAGGGGGAAGCTACCAGTGTGTCCAGAGAGAGCCAGGGGCCAGCCCCGGGGCTGTCACCTGCCCTGGTGGGAGGGGGGGGGGCAGGGCAGCCCCTCCTCCCACTGCCCCCACTGAGCACCTGGCCTGGCTGCTCTGGGACCCTCCAGCCTCAGCTGGGACCCGCGGGTCCAGCTCCCTTCCTCACGCCCTCCGTGCCCTCCCACTTCAGGAACTGCTACAGGAACGAACAAAAAGACACCGGATTCTTCTGTAGGGAAAGTTGCCTGCTCACCTCTTGCCTTCACCACCTGTCATAAGCCAGGAGCCTGAGGGTCAGTATCCCCTGGATTATTACAGGAGTTTAACTCAATTAAGCCCATCTTTGGTTAGTACAGTTTAAAATGAAATCCTACTTTTACAAAATGAAATGGACAAAGATTTGAGCGGCAATGAGGGAGTCGTCTTTTTTAATGAAGTATAGCTGACTTACAATGCTGTGTTAGTTTCTGAAGCACAGCGATTCAGTTATACATACACACATATATATACATTCTTTTTCATATTCTTTTCCATTATGGTTTATTACAGGATATTTCATGAATACAGTTCCTATCCTATACAGTAGGACCTTGTTATCTACTTTATATAGAGTCTTTAGTAACTGTTAATCCCAAACTCCTAATTTATCCCTCCCCACCCCCTTTCCCCTTTGGTAACCAGAAGTTTGTTTTCTAGTCTGAGTCGTCTTTTAATTTTGTGTGTCCTAAGTTACAAAGGAACACGAACAATCTCTGCCATGCTTTCTTTTCTGTTGTAACTCAAAAAGAAATATTTTGTAAAATTTAAGATAAAATATCAAATTGTTTATCCCAAATTATCTTGGTTCCAATCTGTCTCACAAAGGACGATGTTCCTGCAGTGACAACTAGATGCCTCCAGACGTCTGACCCAAGCTGGTCTCCTGTTTTTAAGAGGCCTGGCATAGGAAACTCCCTTGGAACTCTCCTCTGGCTAAACTAAGATCTATCCTGTTATGTGAAAACTGGAACCAAAGCATTGGATGTGGACGTTTTTGCCTGGGGCTGTGTTTCCGTAACAGGGGAGAGGCCGATTCTGGCCTGGGGTGGGTGACGACGAACCCAAACTTGAACCCAGACTTGCTTTAATCCTGGGACCGGTCGGCTCCAAATACCTCTCCCCCCCACCCCCCACCGCCGC